ACAGTATATGTATACAATGGAGGGAAACATTGTATGATGGAGGGGGGCTTGGGTTAAAGTAGGATGCTTGTATGTAAGCGTAGGTTCATTTAAAACTTGTATGTTATGCTTAAATTGCGAAGGCATGTCCATTGTTAAAGTAGACTAGCTTTGAATCGAACAAATAAACATATATAATGTGTCAAAAAGAGCCAAACCTTTATGAAGGAAGGAAAGGACAGTATGTTTAGAAAGACCGATCCTGATCCTCAAAGTTGTCTTGCACTAGACTAGCTTTATCTAGACATAGCACATTTGCGGGCGGTTTATGCATGTCAAATGATCAAATGCAATATCAAAAGTGCTTTTAAACATGCACTGCTACAGCCTCTATGACTCTTTAGAACGACCCCTCCTCTTCGGCTCTTTGGCTGCGATATGAAATACAGAAACATCTTCCACCCTTCTCTTCCTAATTTATATAGTTTTCGGTTCCCTTCCCACCCTTCCCTTCCTTACTCATTTGTCATTGCCCCCTCCCTGCTCAAGCCTTGAATAGAATTGGTCTTTCAGACCACCCCTCATGAAGAGGTTGATCACTCCTCCAAGATATTTCGGGGTATTGAAGCTCCACACTTATCTCCCCAGACCCTTGTGACCGTTCGTAAAACATCATAATTCGGTGCAGCCATCGAGAAGCTACCCTCCTCGCCTCGGCATTGGATATTGGTGCAAATTGTGAACTTGTTGGGGTAACCTCTGTGGGAGCAAGGGACCACCTGATTAGGCAAAAAACTTTGATAACTTGGAAAAGTATTTGTTACGAGTAGCGATGGCCTCCACCTAGTAGCTTCTTGCTACTAATTAGTAGTAAGTATTTGTTGATCAGTACATCCAACCTCTGTTGGGTCAGTACATCCCGTCCGATGTCTCACCGCGCCTCCTCAACACCTGCTCCGCGACGCCGCGGACCGCACCGGCCACAGCGTCTGCAACAGCGCCTGGGGCAAGGGCCAAACACAACAGGCTTGGGTCTTAGAAATGAAATAACATGAAATCAGTGACAGTCAAAATTAGAAGTTTCTCATGGGCAATCCAGCGCTTGAAACAAGTTGTTTCAAAATAAGTATAGGAAAGAAATGGACGCAGCCGGACATAACATGTAGCAATAAAAAGTGGGAAGAACCAATTGACCACCCCGACACAGAGAGACAAAGAGAGAGAGAGAGAGAGAGCGAGAGAGACACCTAGGAACGTGAGGTGGCAATTGCTCCGGCCTTTCTGAATGATGTCGAGCCGATGCAAAGTGCAAGCTTAGATGTTAGAACCCCAGTGACTCCAAAAGTGTTATGCACTGACTTCAGAGTTTCTACATGTTTCTACAATTGACAAGGCATGAATAAGCGATATATGACGATTGTCTATGGTGTGTACCACTAGGTTGCACAAAGCCCGGTGCCTAATTTGGATTCCGCCAAATCGAACCTAGCAAGGTGTTTGTTAGAAAAAGGGGGTTGGATGCTGGGACTGGGCGTCCCGGTGTTGACTTCCCGAAACACTGAGCGCCCCTGCTTCTAAGGTCGCCAGCACTCGTTTTGGGAGTCTTCGGCTTGAAAGACCTCATCGTCATCGCCGCTGAAGGACTAGACCGATCAATGAGGGAAAAAGAATCTCCATCACTAGGAGCAAAAGGAATCCTACATAGCACCTCAAATAGGTGGGGTCAATCAAGAGATAGATGAGAACAAGTGGATGAGTCATGATGAGTAATACTATTGCCTGGATTTGCTTGGTCCGCTCTTTGCGTGACCCAAGAATAGGGATTGAAATGAGTGCGGTGTGGCCCTGTTCTATTGCTGCACAGCAGTCTCGGATTCCCGATGTTGAGATAAACTTGCTTGCCCAAGAAATGAAGTAAATCGCACCAAAAGAAAGCAGAACAGTGGAATTTGGTGCTACAAGTACAGTATCATGTTGTATCCAGTTTCGGGTCCTTCCACTTATAAATGCACCGATTCTCCTCGATGAAGTTGGATATTGGGGGCACTGTTCTTCTAGCTTTCTTCACACTCAAGTTTTCAGCTTAGCATCTTTGGCAAGAAAACCATGTCAAAACTGACACGCTTGGTCAACATTGTCCGGCAATCTGCCTCGGTGGGCCAGTCGGCAAAACCATCTCCTGATCTCCGGGGGGTCGCAAACAAGGTGTGCCTGTGAAGCATGAGGGATGCCGTGTTTTCTACCCAATTTCCTCAGCTAAGCCAAAAAGATCCAAGAAGGAGCTTCTGGAAGGATATACCACGCATTGCTCCTCATCCTGATCTTGAGAGGTTTCCTCCGCACAGCAGCCAAGCCAGGATCCCATGCAACCTCAAGCCGCAACGCAGCGAGTGTCAGTGTCAAATATGATTGAAGCATATTGAAGTTGAAGCATACAGGCCAGAGAAACACAGCCCAATCTAATGTAATGTGGCACAAGTTCGAACAACCAAGAGCCCACGGTGAAAACCAGCAATGCCTGTTGCCGGGCACAGGGCAAGAAGCGATTCACTTTACGCGGTCATGTGGCACAACTTTGTGAAGTCATAGAGGTCCACATCGCAAATGCTGGTCAGGAGATTCCAGGAGGGTTTGTGACCACCATCCCAAAGTCCAAAATCAACAAAGTTGGAAGCCAGTCACAAAATTGCTGATTTGGGAACTTCCAATCTGCAGGTTTAGCTGAGGAAGCAACCCAAGCTTGCGCGCTGGCAGGCACTTGGAGCCAACAGCTGCAGTCAAGGGCATCCGTCTTGTCAGTGTCAATGGCCATCAAACCAAACAAATGCAAAAGCATACTCAGCGCTGCCTCATGCAAGGACGCTACTAGGTGGAGGCCATCGCTACTAGGAACAAGGACGCCGTGGCTTTCAGTCTGTGGAACAATGGAGCCTTGGGATGCCTCAGGGGAAACCGTGATCCGAAAACTCACCCAGCATGGGGCACAGGCGGGTCGACACGCGCTTGGGCATTCCCAACCTGGGAACAGAGTGGGCCTGTCATGTGAGGATCTCAAACAAAATGCAACCATCCTCGTACCAATTAAACCCCGGTGTGGTGGAATGTCGAAAACACAGATGTTACATAAAACATAGCCGTTCTATGATGGACAAGAGGGGTTGGAACCCCTCAAATAAGGGGAATCTGAGTAGCCAAAGTAAAAGCAAACATTAATCACCGGAAGCCAAACACAAATAAAAAACCTAGCACAAAAAAACACCTCTCAAAATAAAACTTGTGGTAGCCGACGTTCATGATTTAGCAACATATATACATTTTTGGGTGGCAAAGAATTGTATTATATAATATAACATAATCGAACGTGGCCATAAAATCAAGATCCAAAAGCTGTGATTGGGGTGATTTTGTTTGCTAAACTTACTGGTTTGCCGGGACCTTTCAGTTTCCCGACCCTTCTCTATTTCACTACCCTTTTCAAGAAGATTGATGTTCCTTAGCGTTTTCTATTTCCCTACCCTTTTTAAAGCAAAATTTGAGTAACAAAACCATTGGTGCCTAAGCTTTGTCCATTTCTGTGCTTTGTTGGATTGGATGGGCTTTGCGGTCAGGATGACCCACCATAAGTTCACAAAACAATGCTGGACTTTGAAAACATATAACAAATGTTGGAAAACAATTGCCTGAGTTATGTACATTTATATAGAGGTGCTAAAATATGGTGCTCAAGCATCCCCTCTTTATTGTCTAGCCACGGCTATGCCACGGCCATATGAAACATCATAACACCAGGAAACTGAGGTGTTCAAGTATGTATGTATGTATGTATGTATGTATGTATAGATTTATATACCTAGGTCCCATTTGATCTCTGTCTTGATAGGAAAACCATATGTTTGGTGGTTGGTGGTCCAACAGTCCAACATAAGTCACTCAAGCTCTAGGTATATAGTATATACCATATGTATTGCTTCAATTTTATAAGTATACAGTACATACATCCACTCGGGTCAGGTGGAGCAGCGTGACGTGAGAAGAGATGGAATGACATCTGCAAATAATGAACATGAATCCCTAGTAAACAGGTCCATCCCACAATTCGAACTCGCTAGCTATTAGCCGTCAAACCAAGCTGCGCCAAATGCCTGTTGCGACGGGCTGGAGGCGCCGCCTCAAAGTGCAGCAAAGTGACATTCACAACCAGGCTCACCAAACTTTGTTTATGATTGTTGTTGTTACGACGACACGCCTCCGATCGACGTAACGAATGAACGCGCTGTTTTAGCAGTGCTTGAGCCAAAAAGTCGGATCATATCCAAAATGAGTGATACACCTTGGTAAGACATGTGATGTCCAAGAACAACCAAGTGGAGCTACATATGTACAGTACCTCTATAGAGGGGGCCACCTTATGTGGAATCCTTCAACTCCCCCCTCGAGGCTTGGCTGTTCGGAAAATCACTGCCCTAAATACAATTTCCGGTCGGTGCCCTTATGGCAAGCCGCGCTGGCATCGGACAATTTCATGTGAAGATCAAGCCTTGTAATGCAGAGATAGCTGTTGCAAAGTCAGGCTCCACTCGTTTGGTGGGATAATCTTCGTAAAGCTGTTGGCCTTTTGTTGAAGCGTGGTGCAATGCTGTGCATTGACGGATTCATCATGAAGGGCTTCCGAGACCGCTGCCATATTCACCTTGTGTACACGCCCGCAGTGGCGCAGGCGAGCAGAGTACCCTGCTTCAAGTACCTGGAGCACAGCACTATTGTCCTGGAAGAACTTTACCTCAATCTGAGATCCTACAAGTTGTTGCACAAACGATTGCAAATTATTTACTTCTCCATAAAGACCGTTAGCCATTGCGATGAGCTCCGCTTCAGTGGTGGAGCGGGCAACGCT